TCTATCTATCTATCTATCTATCTATCTATCTATCTATCTATCTATCTATCTATCTATCTATCTATCTATCTATCTATCTATCTATCTCGCTCCACTCTTCTCCCTACATCATGCGGCAATGATGTGTGTTAATGTCTTCAGTAATCATCATGTTCAAGATCAAAGTGGCATACGGGCTGTTTTTTGATGTTTTAATTCCTTTTTTGTTTCTACCCTTCAAATAGCCTTCTCTGTGAATATTCAACACTATAACTATACAAAAATGTATTTCAAACAGCATACATTCTAGGTTGAAGCATATAGATTGATTTAGGAAACATTCTATAGGCCTGTATTGGATAAATCCATGAGATAGGAAAATTCATGAATCTTGTAATCTAACAAATGCATATATATGGACACATAACTAGATGTCAAAACGTGACTTTTAAGACGGGTTTAAGGATTGAGAGAAAATATATGAACTGTTAAATTATGTTCAAATGCTAAAAGGAAGAAAGATCAATGTTGAAGAGCCTAGCCACAGGAAGCGGATCACAAAACGAAGTCGAAATTCCCATCTCCGCCTCCTCGGTATTAAAGCAATGTCGCAGCCTTATGACGTCCTCTTTACCCGCTACCCCAGAGGAGGAAAGGGTGCGTTTTCACAGTTGCCGACACAATCCACGCAAATAATCAAGCATCCTAAGTTATTCTTTTGCCTCACATACTTTTTTATGATGATTAATAACTATAGGATCATGTGTCTTTTATATTGCAGAACTTTAAGTTCGCCATCCATCGCAAATCTACAATGGCCGAGGAAGGGTAAGCATGACGCTTGTTGCAGCTATAGCTACATTAGCAGTGCGGTGGGAGATAAAAATACCATGCTGGACTAAAAAAAAGAATTAATGAACTTAAAGGTGACCCGTAGAGCTATGGTAAAAGCTGCGTTTAATGTGGTACGTTTAAAAACAAACGATAAAGGACTAGGGAAGCTGAGACTAGGTATACGTTTAAAATTAAATTCAAGTCTGATTAGATCTTTACCTACATATAGGAAGGAATTTTCCGTACAAGCTTGGGGAAGGGGTTTTTTAACCTGCTAAACTTGCTTCTCATCTTTAAAAAAATAAAATAAAAATATCTCCCTATAAACACGCATCATAAATTGGAGGAACTTAGAAAGGTGGTCGTTCGGTTATTTTTAGTAAATGGTTTACTTTGCTAGCGCTTAGCAGTAGGGGTCCTTGGCTGTTATTCTGGTTAATAGATTGTTGGGATGCAGTGTTTCCGATTTTTTTTTTTTTTAGGTTAAGGGGTTTTTAATTTGTAAATTGAAAGGTATAAATGTCTCTTACATGAGGCGACAGCAATTATTTGTTTACTAAATCCTTTTCGCTCTATAGTTGTGACAAAATACTGATCTTATGTTGTGTCAAGTTTCTATTTGTGAGCTGAAAGAAAAACACTGGAAATGTTTGTGCCATTCCACCATAACTGGTCACACATCTTTAGAGGAGGCCATATTAAGTCAATGAGATGTAACTCCTGTTTAATTATATCCTTCCCTGTAAAAAGTCTTGTAAATGTATCAAAAAGTTATACCACTCAGTATCTTTCTACCCCTGTATGCTTCATTTGGAACACCAAACTGATGTTCAGTGTAACTTAGTGACTAGAAGTTGCTTCATGAATCCTATGAGGAGAAATGGAATATTTCTAAAAAGGAAATTAAAATGAAAAGTATTCAATAGGATGCCATAACTCCAAAAAAAAACTCCCCACTGCTTTCTTGTTTTGAGCTCTGCATAAATGATGATTCACTTCTTTGTCGGATACCCCTTCACTCTACAATGAGTGAGATCCTCCTTCTGATGAGCCAGAAGCTCAGCAATGCACTGCTCTTTCAACCTTTGAGGATAAAGTGTTAATCTTTGAAATACCTTCTTGTTTGATAGCACTGCTGCCGGAGGTGTGATGGATGTCAACACCGCTCTCCCTGAAGTGCTTAAGACCGCACTCATCCACGATGGCCTTGCACGTGGTATCCGTGAGGCTGCAAAGGCCCTGGACAAGTATGTTTGTTACACCTCAACATTGCATTAATGAATCACTGTATAGAAATGACTTATTACCAATGTCCTAATGATGGGTAAGGCAGGGAAGTTGAAGGTGGACAGAAAATAATAGATTCCGCCTTAGGTTCTTTTAGTAAAAATCCTCAGGAAAAATGCTCTGATTGCCAAGAATGAAAATATATCCAATATTTTTATTTGATATCCCAGTCAGAATAATTAATGAATGAAATGCAAGTGATTGAATCATTCTGAAGTAGGATTATGTAATTGATCAACTATAAATTGATGTGGGCATTTTCTTTTAAGCCTGGTATCAAGGGGATCTTTTCATAACATGATGGGCTGAATATAAATTTTTACGACAATCTGAATTAAAAACATATATATTTACGATTTATCGCACCAGCTGTGTAAAATGACTAAACAAATGTAGTTAAACTTATAAGATGTATTGTAACATTTATAGAGCTGGATGATATAGCCGAAGCATGATACTTCTCTTAATTTAGGTCAATATGATATAATTTCAATATTGATTTGTAAATAAAGCCTCAAGTGCTGCTAAAACTGCCCATAACAGAATCCTATACAAAGTAGAAAAATAATTATCATAATTGAGCTGTCAGAGACGGGTGGTGAGATGCAGTGTATCCAGTGGTGTCAAAAGTACACATTTGTTACTTGAGTAGAAGTAGAGATACTGCAGTTTAAAAACACTCTGGTAAAAGTTAAAGTATCAACTTGACCTCTTTAAGTAAAAGTGAAAAAGTATGTGCTCCAAAAACTAAAGTATAAAGTAACCTTAAAATAAAAATAAAAAAAATCGGCCAGATGCCACTATGAATTAAAAGCTCAATTTTTCAACAATTTATAAAATTCTTTGAGATGGGGCCAAGGAATAGCGACGTCTTGTTGTTCTCAGTCTCCCAATATGCTCTTGCCGGTGTTCGACCTTTCAGGCGTTTCAACGTCTTTTTCTGAATCCAACATTGTAGCATGGCATAGACAATTCACGTTAGCAGTTTGAAGAACACCTGCTTGCTTCTGATGATTTCCATTGGCTAACCAGAGTGTTTGCGTTATGACTCATCTAATTACACTAGTTTTCATTAGATGTGGATGCCGCACATGACGTGAAAAAAATATTTATAAACATTAATCCGAAGCAAAGAGTAACAAGTAGCATTTGTATTAAAAAAGTACAGATACTTGTGTGAAAATGTAATGAGTAGAAGTCAGAAGTAGGAAGAAAAATAAATAAGGAGTAAAGTATAGATTCCTAAAAAGTGCACTTAAGTACAGTAACTAAGTATTTTTACTTTGTTACTTGACACCTGTGAGTGTATCATCTGGGATGTAATATCCCACTGCCTCCTATTTGTTGTGCAGTACAATAAGGCAGTCTCACAAACCAGGCTTGTATAAATATAAAATTCCAGATTGGGTTTCTCAGAGCCTGAACAGCATTATTCTGATCATTAGATATCCAAAGGGTCTTTATTTCCAAGTGTTTTTATTTGCTGAGATGTTAAACGAGTGGTGTTGATTACAGATTAGCAATGTGACCAGTGCTGCTGTATCGATGATGATATTTAGGCTCCCTCTACTGAACACTGTGAGGAGATTGCCTCTGTTACCCAAATTCTGTCTGAGATACTGTCCAGCACACTGACTGTAGTTGGTCTTTTAACTTTTAAACTTATCTTTGCAAGATTTGCCTGCATGATAGTGTTTATATTAGGAAATATCAGTTAGAAAATTAGTCTATATTCAGACTGAGGAATAAAAATGGCTGATGTTCAGCATTAAGGATATTTGCTCAAATACTTTCTTGGATATTTCCTGATGTTGTTGCGCTGATTTAAATTCAATCTGATTTACTTAAACAAATTAGATCCTGGGTGTTTAGCTCTGCAGGGTTTGGCTCCTCTTTCTCAATCAGTGGAATCTGGTGGTGCAGTTCAGGAGTCGTCTTCCAAAAGTGTTAGAAGTGCATAGAAGGAAAAAATGACTGCAATTTTTGGTGAATTTTATTTTATAAATGAGTTAATTTTATTTTCTGCAGGCGTCAGGCCCATCTCTGTGTCCTGGCTGCCAACTGTGACGAGCCCATGTACGTCAAGCTGGTAGAGGCCCTCTGCGCCGAGCATCAGATCAACCTGATCAAGGTTGGTGTTGAGTTTGCATTTGGAGTCTTAGCCGTTGGTGTTTCAATGCTGAGCTCTGTTGTTTTAAAAAGTTGTGAAATGTACTGCTGTATCAGTGATGACAAACTGGCTCCCTCTACTGAACTCTGTGAGGAAATGGCCTCTGTTACCCAATTGTGTCTGAGATACAATTCAGTATAAAATGTATATAGTTGCCTCATTACTACGTATTAAAGCTCGACTAAATTAATTAATTTTGCAGGTTGATGACAACAAAAAGCTCGGCGAGTGGGTCGGTCTGTGCAAGATCGATCGCGAAGGAAAACCCCGTAAGGTGGTGGGCTGCAGCTGTGTTGTTGTCAAGGTAAAATTTGGATGTCTAGATGCGTAATTGTTTTTGGCTTTCACTTGTTGAGATGGAAGCATAAAGATTTGGCTCGTACGGCCAGGCAAGTCCAGGTGTTGTGCATTGTGCCACGCAGCTGTCTAATTCCTGGCTAGATAACAGCCACAGTACGAGCCTCATCATCCAACTGTGATATCTGGGGTCCCTGGAAATGGCTACATGCATTAATGCAGTAGTATTTTCTGTCAAGTGACTTCAAGAAGTTCTGAAGACTTCAAAGAATGACTTAAACTTGAAAAGTAGACACTTCTAAATGTAGTCCCAAGTTTTGCTAAATCTCTAAGGTTTATCCTGATGTCTGCCTACAGCTGTTTGAGCTCCTTCAGTGCATCATGCAGACTAATCTTGTTTTCTTTGCAGGATTATGGCAAAGAGTCTCAAGCCAAGGATGTCATTGAGGAATACTTTAAAGCCAAGAAATGAGATGTTAATAAAACGTGGAAATTAATTTTGCCTCGTTTGTTTGTTTTTTGTGATGTGAGCTCTGATTTTGAAATCCTGGTCATCTTTTACATGCTGTGTTCATGTCCATTTAATGCCATATGCTTTGATCAATGATCAAATTGCAAAATGTTCTACAATATGCTGGGAAAGCGCTCAATCATTTGTAATACTGTTTTATATCCTAACTGGAGAAAGACCTTCAGATGCATGACTTAAAAAAAAAAAAAAGCCAGAGGTAAAGATCAAATCCTTACAATTTAATTTGACAAAACCCATAACATCCATTGTTCTGAAATTTATTGGAAATAATTTACAGAAGTTTTTACCACAGATAGCAATTTATTACAAGTTTTCTGCCAGGAAGAAAACCTTAGAAAAACATGTACCCCAGTATACATGACAGAATCTACAGAAGTTTCTTAGGATTATTAGTTTGGAGGCGACCATCCATTCCATGTGAGGCAGCGTCCTTAATGCCAGAGCGCCGATCAAAGGCAGGTTTTCAACCAAAACATCCCGGAAAGTTCATCCTTGGGTTCTCCATCAAGATGCATAAACCACTTTTAAAATAAAGAGCCAGAGCAGGAGGGCTTCCTTTTCAATTATCCCTTACCCCCACCAACTTAAGACTGTTAAGAGTTCATCAATCCAGACGTTCAAAATAAAAAGGGATCAAACCATTGCAGTCTAACGTTTGTTCTTAAATAGTTGTACAAAAGAGGGCTGCTTGTTTTCGTCAACATTTCATGAGTTCATATTGCTGTGGTGGTTACAGGTATTCGAACTCCAGTGCTTGGTGTAATGCCAGCAGGTCAGAGTGACTTGATATCCTCCAGAAAGGCATGTTGTGCTGTAAAACAGACATACGGTTAAATCCAGAAGCTGTTGCTCTGCAGCTTACCACCACCACAGTGCACTATGTACAGAAGCTGGAACTGAAGACTATGCTAAAGCACCACAAACAAAACATGCAGCACTAACAATTAGTGGGGAATGTGCTCATCACCTTCTGCTCTGGGAGTTAACTCGAACCACATTCAGCAGGTATCGATATTCAGAAAAGTTGCACATGAGATGTATTAAAACTAATACAAGTGATAAAGGTATGTACTTTTTTCAGAGCAGTTCATCAAATTCTAACTGCTTTGTGACATTAAGATCTTGATAGCCAGTCTGCACAACTAGACTAAACTACATTGATGACAAATGTACTAAAAAGCATTTATATACATTTTTAATTGGTATTTGCTAATAAAACGTCAATTTACAACTTTATATAAATGTCTTGTATTGGTAATGACAAATCATACTAAGCTCTGTTCTCAGGTTCAGTGAAATCAACCAAAAAGTGTTTTTTTTAATGGTATTTAATAAATCTATATGCATAGCTCTACATGAAAGTATGCTCAGATTAATTTTTTCCAACCTGAAGCAATTAAGTTGTAAGTAAATCTTTCCTGCACACAACTTTAGGTGATCAGCTGGTTTGTATTTTCGACATTCTCAGAATGTTTTTAAAATCTTCAAATTGCTATTTCATGTGGAAAACGGCAAAACTAGCTACCTGTTATTTGTGCCAGCACACAGAAACTTGGACGTTTATTTTTATTTTTTTCTAGCTCACAAAAAAGAAAGTGACAAGAACATTTCCCCATCTTAAAAACAAAAATCCCAATTCCAAGCATCAAAAATAAAACCCCAAACTGGAAAGTATTCAGAACGAAATTCTCTGTCCAACTATGGTAAAGAAAAACTTTTCCCTTTTGTATTCAACTGTAGCAGAAATTAGAAAAAGGCGTGACATCACCGGATCAAAAGCAGCATATAGCTCTAAACACATTCAAAGCTTGGCTGTTGAGTACACTTTGGCAGGCTGTCACTTAAACTGAGCAGAAACATGCTCCAGATGCTGGTTTAAAAAAAAAAAAAGACATCTGTAGTGCGCATAACCTTTAAAAAAACATTAAAATACCAGTTTCACACTACAAGCATGATATAAATGGCTAAATTTAAAAGAATGAACATTAATTTCTACTGATTCAGTAGAAAATTTTATTCCCAGTCCTAAACAGTTATTTCAAAATACTTGATAACTAATTGTGTCAAATAGATCCCACTCTGCTGAGAAAAACAGAGAAGCTGATTTTGATTTATTCCATCGTATTAAATTCACCTCACACCAGGTAATAACTAAATACTGAATTTGACTGTTTTAATTTTAAGATGGAAAATCTGTGAGTTCTGCTAATATTTTATTGCTAACTCCTGTCATCAACACATGGCACTATCACTTATTTCCTTCAAACACAACGGGAACATAATGACGAAATCAATTTTATTAACAGCTAATAGTTTTCTTTCACTTTGATGAAATATACTCCTTGGTAAATCACACTGTGGTGTGCTTGTTTTTTTGAGCTTGAAAGATCTGACTTACAATCTTGTCGTGGCTTTCCAACTGTAGTTTTAAAATTGAAATTAGGTCTAAATGAAAGATATCTAGCTTTTACAGTATGACTGTGTTTTGCATAGAACATTTTTCAATCTAGTAATCAAGGAAAAGCTAAAACCCTTCTGCCATTTTAGCCTAAGTACACAGAGCAAGAGAAAATCTCACCCTCAAGTTTTTAAAAGTCTAAACTTTTGTAACCTGATATATAAATTCTGTTCCCTTGCCAAAATGTTTTAGATTGAATTGCCAAAGCATACTCAATTATTCAAGCTTTATTCTTCAGTATTCATTGTAATGGTTGCAGCGAAGTTATCCCAGCACACTGTAAAAAAAAGAAGCCAGTAGTCCAGAGAAAGTCAAAGACCAACACAAAAACTGCTGCAGCAAAGAAAGGCAGTTGTTGTCCACTCAGAGCTCACGCTGTGCAGACTTGGGCGGATTGGAGGGATGTCACAGTAAGGTTGTGGGTCCGTTACCTTTTTGGCTGCCTGTTCCTCTTCTACACCGTCCCCAATAACAACATACACTACTTTCCTGCCAAACCTTTGCATTATGCGCTCAAAGCAACTCTCTTTTCCTGCAAAAAAGAAATGAACAGGGGGGAAGGAAGGAGGGTAACATGGTCAGAGGGCTCAAAGCTCGGAAGCTGTTTGATTACCTGGCTGGCGGCATGCTCTTCATCCTTCCCATCGCCAATCACAACATATGTAATGTTAGTGCCAAAGCGGGAGACTATACGCTCAAAACAGCTCTCTTTGCCTGGAGACAAACACACGGCTTTCACAGATTTATCACTTTTTTTTAGATGGATATAAAACACCGGAGGGATGCTTCAAAATTATTTCCTAATAAAAGATGCAAAGGATTCTTTAACGCCTCCGTAGCATTCAATCAAGTTTATTAAGTTACACTTAATATGTGCAAATAAACGATAAGAATGATATTGCCTTCTTTGCGCAGCTTATCTTTTACAGTCTTATTGTTACATCCCTGCTGCTTTTTTAACTGCATGCATTTCTATTCTTTTTACATCTACCTAAAATATTCTTTAAATTAGCAGTGAAGCCTAAGAGCTTAATCTAAAGGTTTGTGTGTTTAAAAATATGTGCACAACTTGACAGTGCATGCAGAACTGCTCTGCTTTTGTCATGAGTGAAGCAGCAAGTCCAATCAATTTGCCTTACTTAATATGCAGAAGAACATAAGATGATTATCTGAACACCCAAAAGAATGGGAGGAAAATATGCAAATATAATCATTTTGCATCTGCATGTTGCTTTAACAAGAATGGAACTGATTGCAGTTGCTGTTTTTGCATCTATATTTAGCACATTTCACAAGCAGGTGCAGAAGTGATGAAGAAATGCCTGGTCTTTTCAGAGAAAAGGGGCATAGGTGCAACGATAGACAATGAAAGTAAATAATCTGTGCATCTAAAACAGTCAGAAATAAACTTGGAAAAGATATCGTCGACTCAACAATGCCATGTTTGAATTGTGGATGACCTAGGGGGCTAACTGGGAACCAGACACAAATAAAAACCACTACCTATTGAAAATGGTAGCGCTAACACTGCACTATGTCTGGATGGATCAATCCTGTGCATCCATGCAGTTAGTGTTGTGCTGTCCACAGGTACCAATACATTCTAGAGGCCAGGGGGCCTTTCGGGTGTTGCATAACCTTGTACGTGTCCATGCATACCTTCACGATCATCAGATCAATTGGAAAAGTAGTTTGCACTAATTATCTTTGGAAATAGATACAATTTATGAAAAGAACTGCAGCTCTGCTGTGAATATGAAGGTGCTGCTTATCCACAAAAAAATGGGCCTTTCTCTGTATCAATTAATGGTAAAATCATTCATTGAAAACCAAAGAACAATGCAAATTTAATCATTGCTAACCCTTTATAGGAAGCTCAGGGAAATACTTTGAAAATCAAAACTTCAAGACAAGAGTTTCAATGAAATCCAGGACAAGACCTTATTACCTTTGTAACATTAAAAAAAAACATATATTTGTATGGCAAAAATGTATGTCAATGTGATAACAAGTAATGCCCACTTGCCCTAATATAAAAAGAAAAATAACAAAAGTTCAGAAGAATAATGAAAAAGTGCAGATGAAAAAAACAAAGTGAAATAATTCTTTTTGTGACATCATAACCTTAGAGCTTTAATCCTGATACAGTAACATTTAACTTTTTTAACTTAGCTTATTAACTTCACTTTTTAACTTTTCAATTAGCTTGTTTACTTTTTCACTTAGCTTTTTACCTGTCAACCAAGGGCTCATCTAATTGGCTTCAAATAACTTATAGAGCCATGTAGCAGTATCTTAGCGGAATGGCTGGATATGAATTTTGTGCCTCTGGACCTCACTGAGGGATGGGAGGACTCCATTTATATGGAGTATGCAAGTGATTAAAAATAGTAACTTGTCCTATAAAGGATTAAGAAGCAGTGATTGAGCAGTCTTGGTCAAGTTTTAGGAGAAGATACAAGGCCTCCCTGTTGTATGAAAGAGAAGTTGCAGCAAAACAAGGCTGTTACTCACTTTGTTAACAAACAAACAAACACAAAACTATAACAGCAATTTAACTTTACAACCCTGCTTTACCATCTTTCATTTACCCATACATATTCATATCCTAGGCAGATTTTAGTTTATATGAATCTTAGTTTTAGTAAGTCGGACTCCGCCAAGGTTGACCTTTGTCACCGATTCTGTTCATAACTTTTATGGACATCTATGGTCATGAGCTTTGGGTCCTAACTGAAATAATGAGATCCCGGATAGAAGCGGCTGAAATGAGTTTTCTCCGTAGTGTTTCTGGGCTCTTCCTTAGAGATATGGTGCGGAGCTCAGTCATCCGGGGAGGCCGCTGCTCCTCCACATCGAGAGGAGCCAGTTGAGGTTGCTCGGGCGTCTGATTTGGATGCCTCCTGGACGTCTCCCTGGTGAGGTGTTCCAGGCACATCCCACCGGGAGGAGGCCTGGGGGAAGACCCAGGACCCGCTGGTGGGACTATGTTTCTCAGCTGGCCTTGGAGCGGCTTAGGATTCCCCCGGAGGAGCTGGCCTAAGTGGCTGGGGAAAGGGAGGTCTGGGCCTCCCTACTCAAGCTGCTACCCCCACGACCCGACCTCAGATAAGTGGAAGAAGATGGATGGATGGATAGATAGATGGATGGATGAATGGATTAATCTTAGTTTTTTGCAACATGTTTGTTCTGACTGGAAGCAATTCATGTTTTAAAATTGTATATCAAGTATCCTGATTTCAATCTTGCAGAAAATATGCTAGGTTATCGAAAAGAAATAGCAGAAGAAATGTTCAAAATACTTGGTCAGCATTTGGACACTCCATATTTTCATGTGAATAAATATAGATCAATTATTTTTTGTAGTCTTGTTTATTTATCTCTTCAGGGTCACCAGCCCCAAATCATATTCAAAAATCTTCCTGTTTGGAGAAATAGATATAAAAAATGAAACACTGCCCAGAGTATGAATGATTTTAGCCAAATAAGATAATCCAATTGTTATTTTCTGAAGAGATTTCCTCTGTGGTTTTAGAAATGCCAACGTTTCCAATTCAGCTTTCTATGAAAGACAGAAGCCGAAACCTTGCAGGAATTAGTCAGAGCCACAATTGCTGTGCTCCATACAACTTTTCTGTTATCTACTAAAAGTCTTGCGCTTTTCCTTTCCTTCTCACTTTTCAAACTGGAAGAGACTTGAAGAACCTTTTCTAAATCTTGATCACTCAGTAATAGTGCCAATTATCGATGTCTTTTACTGGATAGGACCCCACCTGTTTGCACCTAGGTGTCATTGCTGTACATTAAGTCAAGCCAATAAAAAAAAAAACTTTTTTAAAGCTGAAATTTTACATCATGGGACTCTTATGTCTTAATTGCTTTAAACAAATGGCCCAAATTAAAGCTTAGGGGGAAAAAAAGCACAGAAAATTGTACGCTGGGCAAAATACTACAAATTTTTGGCTCTGAATTAGTAAAAAATGATGTCATTTACGCCTTAAAATAAAGGAAAACATTAGAGATTTTCTATATTTATGCCTAAGATTCTGACATTCAACAATTATTATGTTTGTGTCTTACCTATTTTTGTTGCACTGTAAATGTTTTCAATGGGGAAAACAGATCCAAGACTATACAGAAGAACTTTAGCCAGCGCCGGTATGAGCTGTGTTGTTGTTACCAACACATTTACACAGTTATTCCTGAAGGCGAGATGGACAAAAAAGACAAACAAACAAAAAAAGCACTTTATGTATAGCTTGACTTGAAAATGAAGTAATATGATTATTATTTTTTAAATAATTATATTTTCTATCTCTTTGGCTCAGATGCAATCTATCGATCATCCTCAGAGAAGAAAAAAACAAGGCTTTACAGAAAGTGAGTGACAGAGTGAGTTGGGAAATAAGTGGGAACCTTGAGCTGATGATGGACAACGACTTGAGTGCGTGGGTGAGCCAGGAATCAGTCAGAGCCTCAACTTCTGCTCTGAGCTGCAACCAGGCATCTCTTTTAGCAGGGCCAAGCAGACCTTTAACACAGAACAAATTAAGTCAAGAACTTTAAAAAAAATGTTTAAGATCTAAAAGTCCTTAAAAAAATGTCTGAAAACCAATGTCCTGATTTTATTATCAAAATTTAAAATACAATTTTTATGCAGGCTAACACCACTGCACGAAAATCTGCATACAACGATGCAATGAGAATCTTTTTAGGGATATCCAGAGGGGGAAGCGTTAGCCACATGTTTGTATCTGTGGAGGCTTCACTTTTAAACCTTTAAAACCAATTGTATCATATTTGATACAGAAGTTTTTGAGACTTCTGCATCATCAGTGTGATCTTGTTGATCTTAAAAACGCTGACTTACACAATCAGACACATGTAGTGAACAGAAAACGTATATAATATTCTACAGAAATGCCTAATGAATCAAAATTGATGCAAATAAATGATTTAATTGTATATATTCTTTTCTTTCATTTTACAGATAGTTCAATAACAAGTCTAAATAAAAAAAAACTGGATTTTGTATTTCATGGTCCAGCCTTTAAAGGGTTAGGGCACTGTAAAGGAGGTTAATGTTTACTTCTGATAACCTTATAGCTTTTGTACTCATCCAATAGTAAATAGTTCTTGTAACTCATCCAGTGTTGAGAAGGCAGTGGCTCTGTGTATACATTATTATGTTTTTCTTTAAATCTATTTTAGATTTGACATCTGCTGATAAAGATATATTATTATTAATAAAGCTTAGCAAAGGTGTCAATCAATAAAGGTACATGCTCAAATAAATATTTTTTCTTGTAATTGTGCTCAAAGTTGATCTTAATAAATAAATGATAAATGTTTTGCCCCAGCAAACTATGTTTAGAAGTTTACATATGACCAACATGTTCACTACCGACATTAATGTCGCTATTTAAATGCTTCTATTTCCACGACTGCACTTTTTAACCATTTATAACTGTAAGGATTCTGTTAGACACAAGGATTAACTAGAAGTGGATTTCCAGTTAAAGAAATGCTCAATTTAATGGAGCCTAGGCGGAACTGAAGAAACTGATTGCTCTCCTACATCCACCTGCGACACAGCCAATCAGCTTTGAACCACACCTCCACGAAAGCCAATCAGCATCCAAAGTTCTTCTTAAAAGGCCTCCGATCCACCTGCCTTCTCCTGTGCGCAGGCGGCGGATGCGCTGTGACTTTAATCAACCCACCTCCAGCCCCTCCTCCACCATCGTAGCTAAAACTTCATCAGAGTGTCATTCCTCCCAGACTCTTAGTGCTTTCCCTGTCTCATCTCAACCGGCCCGACAGAAGACCGCCATGTTGAGCCTGGTTCTGCCAGAGGTTTCTTCCCAACAGGGAGTTTTTCCTCTCCACTGTTGCCTCATGCTTGCTGATCATGGACAGGTTCTCTCAACCTGCGTTATCCAAGCTGGACTTCCATCTTCCAGATCTCTGAGTGCAGCTCTAGTATCAGCTCACGCACTCCAATGGATCTCCCCATAAAGCTCAGCATAAGTTCTCACTTACCAGCAGTCTACAGACTGACCAACTTCATCTATCTCTACCCCACCAACAGTTTCAGGCCTGGAGGGGAAACAGCCCTATTGTTCCTGTTTATACATATCTATCAAAATGAAGTGCTATGTTTCCTGCCGAGGTCTAAACGCCGAAGACCAAGTAATTGTATCAATAAATTTCTCCTAATTTTCTTTTCTCTGAGTGAAATTTTCAGATTGAAATAAGGCTTATACATATAAAGGCTTTAACAAACAAAAACATTCTAGTTTTTCCACAAGTGGTGCTAGAGTTCACTAGACAAGATCGGAGCCCACTACATTTTATTTGGCAATTATTTATTTATTTATTTATTTTAACCAGCCTCAAAAGAATTTTTAACGTGATTATTTAAACAAACTGTTTAAAAATTCTTTAGATAAGACTTTTCTCTGCCATTGTCTAAAGAAGACCTTAGCTCTCGGCCGTTAAATGAAAGAAAAGTGGTTTATGTAAATCAGGGAATACATGGCCACCAATCCTGCCAGAATACCAGCATTCAAAGTGAAAGTCCAAAGGATGATGCTCCTGCTCCAAAATTCCAAACCTTTAAGCTCTGTACAAATGTGCAGGCAACCAACCATTGTTATAGTTTGGGAATGTTTGGCTGCCGGTGGCACTTGTGTTTTCCACACAGAGGGTAAAAATTGAATGAGGAGGACTTTCTTCAAGTACTGCACTTCAAATTAACAGCAAGATGATTAAACTAGGACCCAGTTGGGTGTTTTGACATGACGGTTCCCAAACACTACTGTTAACTAATGTGGAATGCATAAAGCAGGCCAAGATTAACTTTTGAAATGGCATTCCAAAAAGCCCTGGAGAAATCCATGATGGATTGAAGGTTATTAGGCCAGTTTCTGTTTAAACCAAAACAAAACTGCTCTAAATAATATCATAGACTAAAACATTTATGTCAATTATGAGTACATGTAAAGTTGGGAACAAAACTGTGCTTTGATAGTTACTTTTCTACTCCTTTCATTTATTTTATCTCACCTTACATTTCCCTATAGCTAAAAAAAAACTAAACCCATTTTGAACACTGTCTCCTTTTAACTGGCAACCAAGAGATTCCAGATTAGCTGGCTTACCCCCTACATTGTTTTTGTATGTGCTATACAACTCTTTGACCCGTCGGTAGCGGAAGGCCAGCTTCCTCATCCAGTCGACCCCACCACGGACCCCCGTAGCCAGGCACAGGTTGGCGCTGGTTGCAGCTGCATGGAAGCCATCAGTTGCAAAACTGTAAGTACTGTCAATAATAATGATATGTTTTATTTAAAAACTCTGTTCTGTTAGAAAGAAACGTAATTATCATGAGTCGTCATGAAATGTTATTGGTATGAAAGCAATTCAAAACAACTCTTACAGTACAGTACATTACGGATAAATGATAAATAATCACCTTAAGTCTTGGCCGTTGTCATCTGATGACACATCATCAATATGTACCTGATCACATTCCTGCATTCCCAAATAAAGACATACATTGGACAGTTATACCACTTTAGAATGGTAATATTCAAAATCTTTAATGTATTTTACTGACATTCTTATTATAGAGCAACATAAGCAGTACATCACTGTAAAAGTTAGATAGACTGGACCTCTATAAGCTGTCTGCTCTAGAAATATGGCATTATTAGAGAAGGTTTATACGAGACAGAGAGACTTAATTTCATAGCTTCCCTTTAGCAAAATACGAAACATGAAACAATCCCCAAAATGTTGTCACTGCAGAGCAAAATGTTCTGCCTGTGAAATATAGTGGTGGAAGCATCATGCTGTGGGGACCTCTTCAAAAGACTTGAGAATGAGGTTTAGGTTAACCTTTCAACAGGATTTCAAAGTCATAGCTAGAATTAGCTGCAGATTATTATAATTATTATTTTTTTGGATTTTGAACCAATCCAGATCTAGATCAAATTAAGAATATGGGGCAACATTTGAAAATTACTCTTCATAGACACTGCCAATCTGTTCTGATTGAGCTTGAGCTATATAGCAAAGAAGAATGGGTAACACTTTCCGATTCAACAAACCTTTTAGATTCTCATTCCCAAAAATGCAAAAAATATCATTTCCTTTACACCTCATAATTACATTCAAATTTGTGTTGCTTTTTTTTTTTTTTAGATTATATCCCACTAAAGCACATGGAAGTTCGAGGTTGATTGTTAAAAATGTGGAAGAAATTCAAGTAGTATTGTTTGTTGTTCAGAACCCTGTAGATATATGTGAACAAGGTCAAACCCATAGGGTGTTATTTTTTTTACCACTAGAGGGCAGTAGTAGTGCATTAATAGATAAACAAAAAAACTTGATGTTGGTATGTATACTAAAACTCTAGGCTGCTTGTCTTCTTAATGTTATGTGTTTTATTTATTGCTTACCTCCAGGTCATTAAAGAATAAGTGTGTGTCAGCCAAGTTGAAGATCATCTCTTCCATCCTCAGGCCCAGTGTTACTGCCATTGGAGGGTCCTAGAAGAACAAAAATTACAATAAAATTATAATTATAAACCATTTTAATCCACTGAAATTGAGTTAAATGAGCTTAGGGTTAGTCTAGCTAGACGAAAAATCTTGCAATCAACACATTTTGCCAATTTCCCTATACACCCATATTAATGGAATGTACCAACCCTAGTGGAGTTGGTATATTCTGCTCATCACAGCAAGACACTGTCAGACAAGCAGCACTTGCCCTGTCCCATCAACATTCCTGAAACTTGCGAGGAGGGGTAGGGTCAGTATGAAGTGTGTTGTCCCCTCCTGTGCGTACTGCAGAGAGTCGGTACCCTCGGAGGCAGATGCTTCAGTTTATTTGGTATGGGAATCGTTTGCGTGTCTGTGTGTGTGTGTTTGGGAGAACACAGCCCTCCCTGCCAGCCAGGGGCTCAGCTGCAAAAACCATCATGTGTGATGGGTCACAGAGGGTCGACAGCTTTCTGCACAATTCGCTGACACAATCAGACGACTAGAATAGAAAGAAACTAGCAGGAGGATGAGTCAAAGTCAAAAACGGGGACTCATGCACTTTGATTTTTGAGCATAAGAAAATGTAAAAAAAGAATAAAAGTTTATAGATTACTAATTTTCCTGTCAGTTAACTATTGGAATAGAAGATGACTTAGCAAACACTTTGGGTTCTCGGTTAAGAATCTGTCCATTTTTCTTTTTTGATAAATTGATTAATAATCGGATATCTTAAAGAAGATTTTTTGAACAAAATAAAACAAGGGAAAAAAAAAAGGTTCCAATTGAACTCCGGAAAAAACAAAATGAACGAAGAAAAACGTTTTTTTTCTAAATCTGAAATACACAATATTAATATATATTTTTACATTTTTGGTATAATTATTGCTCTTAAGTGGGTTTCTCTCTGAGCTAAAGGCATATTTTAAAGTCTCTAGACTCCATTAATTATTCATCTATTACTAAATTAGTTGACGATTTTAATAATTGATTAATAGCGATAAATCCAATTAATTGTTGCACCCCTAATGTCTAAGGTAATCAAAGCTGCTGCAAGTTTCTCATGGGTTTTTGCATTCATAATCGAGAATCAAAAAAAGTTAATAAAACAAATCAAAATACATCAAGGAAATCTCATTTCCAGATTGTAGATCTAAAGCTAAAACCTTTCTTAATTGTTTCTCCACAATAAGTACGGCAGAATCCAAGCTGGATAAACCTCCAAATCCACATGTGTTTCCATGTCTCACCCACACACACACGCCACTTCACAACTCATCAGGACATCTCCCATACCCATTAAATCCAATTTTTTAACATTAAAAGGGAGGGGGGGAAAAAGCCCAGAACACCCTGCTCTAATAGGAAACACTCCAGTGCCCACAAACTGTATCTGTAAAAACTCTGCAGAGCCACAGTTCTCTGCAAATCTAGCTTCAAACGGTGCCAGTGCTCTGCCATTTTTTTTTTCTACCTCCAGCACTATCAGGATGGGACAGGTTTGATATTTGTGCACACAGGAACAACGTTGCCCAGTAAATACATGTAGCCCTGGCCACTGAGCATTACCCAAGATCCGAGCCAGGAGCTATTAAAATAAAGGGAAGTATAAACAGTGTGTGATAAAATGAGACCACCAAAAAAGTTTAGAGGATATTGGAATAAGCATTACTCAAGAGTAAGAAATTAGCACATCATTTTCATTGGTTGTGATTAAACTAATGAACATATTGACAGTTATTAATAGCTCTGTTTAAAGACCTATTTTTCTGTGTATGTGATCATAAATTGACCAGAACATTCCCGGAGCAGTTAATGTAACATAAGCAATCTACTGAGAGAAATAAAGGCACATAGAGGGTTCGTTCTGTTATTTTTGAGTACATTTGGTGTAATCTTGGAGTTGAATTTTCCGTCAAACTACTTCCAAGGCTAAGCAGGACCAGGTGCTTACTTAGCACTAGTTCTGTTTCCACTTCCAAGAAAAGCAGTCCTATCTTAGCGTTTACTTCTGAGATACAAAATGAGCTTCAGAATTAATTTAAAAGCAATTAAAAGTTTGCGTCACCAGTGGAATAACAAACTACACAGATACATGCACCTCAGCATATTAGAGCTGCATTCACAATCAAGGTTTTCAACTGAATTATACACAATTCAACTCTATATAAACAGGGTCTGTCCAGCTGTTAAATAAATCCTGATTAAAACATGAAAAACTTGTTTATAAATCTAAATCAGCTAATAAATTAGACTGTTGATAATAAAACTACTACTGTGAAATAAGACATGTTGTTTATGTTTACACTTTAGATTAGATTAGATTAGATTAGATTAGATGAGCTTTATTGATCTCACAGCGGAGAAATTCACTGGTCACATATTGGCATAGTAATTAAAGAAGGTGCAAACAAGGAGGAAAAAGGTGCATTAAAAATACACAATATATATACAGTATATCAAGGTATATACAGTATATCAAGATAAATAAGGATTAAGGTGCAAGTGTACATGTATCACACACAATGAAACACAAAATAAAAATAATAAATAAAAAATAAAAAATAAAAAATGCAAGGGAGGAACACAGAGATTTGAGGTGTCATATTTAACACTTAAAACATTTAAAACTCAAATGTTATTGTGTTTTGTTAGTATTTTAATCAGTATAAATAAAACGTATCCCTTAAATGTAAAGTTGAAGAAACCTTAGGAAGTGGATAAGAATATGAAAACGTGGAACATATGGATTGAAAATATTTTTTTTATTTTTAGAGCAATATACAGCTGATATGTCCACACAAATCTTTTTCATCCTCTAAAAATATTTTTTCTAATTCTGCCTAGTATTTAGCTTCACCCTACTATTAACCCTGACCCCCTTGTGTCCGCTAAAGTAAAGCAATGCCACAGCATGATGCTGCTGCCTCCATGGAGGTATTATCATGGTGGCCTAGTATTATTTTTTTTAAACCTACATTCGACCAAGAAATAAAAATCTGGCATCATCTGACCAGAGTTTCTTTTATTAAAACTGTCTCATGAATACAAGACAACAGAATACAACAGTGGAAGTACTTTATGCAGAATACGAAATGTTTTATTGTTTCGTTGTTATAACTTCAATTTGCTCTGTCAAATCAGGGCTTAACCGGTTAAATGACTTGAATAATTATTTAGAAGATACAGATTTTCTTGCAATAATACCAAGTTGTGGAAGCTGTGTCCTACCTTGCCATATTTCTGTGCATAGGATCCTGTGAGCAGAGAATGGAAGACAATGATCGTCTCATCTAGATCCCACACAAACACTCTCTGCAGAACCAAAGGGATGAGACGAGAAATTATTTAAAAGAATATTCAAACCTGTGCTTACATACTTTATCGTAAAAGAATTCAACCCTGCTCTTTTTCCTCTGATTGTACCGTGAGCAGGTTGGATACAAATCAAAAGGAAATACTATATTTCCATTGAGGTTCCAATGTATTATTTAGTCAGTATTTCACGTATTCTGTAAGAGTATGTTTTCTTTTTTTTAATAACTCCCTTACCTCTAGGTCACTGTCAGGGGGAGGAGAAGGGTTGTTTTTGCGGCCCCTGCCGCGAGACTTGGACCCCCCACTCCGACAGGCTCTGTCGTCCAGCTCTTTGATAGGTGTGGAGGGGCTCTGCACTGTATCAAAGTCCCCTGAGAATGAATACAGACAGAAAATGTGTTTTAAATGATTCACATTAGGACATTTCCTAAAATTGGCCTCAAACTACACAAGCAATTAAGCTATGTCTAGTGCATATAGTAAAATAATAGAGCCGATTTTACAAGTTAGTTCTAAATCAGACTTGTTCCTCCTGCAGACGTGATCATAGATATAATAATTCAATGTAATTGGAATGGCAGATAACTTAAACGGCAACAGGAAACAAAAAAAAGTCAATATTTTTTATAGATTTAGGATAAAAGAAACATATGGAGAATTAGAAAATTTCACAAAACTTGTGTGTGATTTGATTTGTCTTGCATGTATACTGCATGTGCATCTGCACACAACGGCGCACACACATTCTTCCACACGAGCACGCCCTCCCAGTGCCATATGCTCCCACCGCTGCTCGGTAACTAGAACCAGACCTTAAGCTTCGGCTCTCATATTGTTATGTCTCAATCAGAGGAAAGGGAGAGTGAGAGAGTGGGGGTGGATAACAAAGACACTCACTGCTGTGATGGACAACAGCAAAAAACCAACAGATACGAACTGGAGGGGGAGTGTGGGGTTGGGAAATTCTAGGAAAGGAAAAATGTCGGCAACAGTAAGAATGGTAAACTTTCCTAATTCAGGGTTCCTGAATGATGGCCAAAACAAACCAAAGTAAAACACAAGAAAAATAAGCTGAAAATAAGGTTTAGTTCTTTTGCACTTAGGGATATATTTGTTCTTCTTTTCCTTAACTTTTAAGAAAAGTGCAAATACTAACAAATGCCAAATATGTGTCAATATAATACAATGTGTGAAATAGATCATTGATCATATCTGCCTTAAAAAAAGCTTAAAGACAATTCCACCCCTCACAATTGGCTAATGCAACAACATCTAAGATAGCTGGACTCTAAAGTTATGACCTGGGCTTTATGAGTAAAACATATGTTTATCTTTATTAAGCGGCACTTGCTCTTATTGGGAGGACTTAAAAAATAAAATTTTTATTCAGTGCGATTATTTTCACTGGTTCTTGCACTGCAGCTCCGGTCCATTGTGAGGTTACTCTGGGCCTTATCTCGAGTCCTTTTCTCTTCATATTGTAAATGCTGCTTCTTTATTGTATTTTGAGAAAAAAACATAATACTCCATTTTGTTATTGTTGAATTTTGGTAATTTAAACATATTTGTTTTTCATATACTTTCTTTTTTCAACTATGAACACTGAAACCACCACTTAAATGTTTTTTTTATGAGCTACATGGTCATAGGCTGAAAGTTCTTTGGATTTTGAAAAAAATTTCTTTTCACTAGTTGTTTCTGTTTGGCTCACATTCTTTTAAAATTCTGGATGTGGAGCTTGACAGCTCCAAAAGGTAAATAAACATTAGTTTTGTTGCGAACTACACAGCCGAGCACTTGGTAGCATTGGAAGAAGTGATGCATGCTTTTTTTATACTCAGTATTTTTGTGCCTGGATCTGTCAGGTTTCTGTTATGTTTTTCTTTTGAGTATCCAGTTTTGCTCTGCTCCTTGTTTTCTAGTTTTAGTGGGTTAATTCTTAGTTTATTAAGTTCTTTGATTCTTTTCTCAGCTACTGTCTTAGTCTCGGTTCTGTTATATTTTCTTTTTAGTGTTCAGTCTTGCTTTACTCCTTGTTTTCTAGTGTTAGTGGTTTTATTTTTATTTTGCTGTGTTCTTTATTTTTTTCCAGTTACTGTCCTAGTCTGGGTTCTATGTTTTCTTTTGAGTGTTTAGTTTTCTTTTCTCCATGTTTTATAGTCCTAGTAATTTCATTATTATTTTGTTGTTGCTGATCCTGTCATCGCTGTTGTCGTCTCATCTTGTCTCTCCCTGGCTCCTTGTGCGTGTTTTCCCTTGATGTCTCCATGGTTCTGGTCTGTGTTACATTTTTAGTTGGATTTTTGGAATCCTTCCTTTGTAAACTATTTTCATCATTAAAACTACAAGAATTCACCTCAGCCTCTCTGCCTCTGCATTTGGGTCCTCTAAACCACAACTAAAACGTGACAGGATCAGTCATGTTTTTTAATGACTTAAAGCAGATTAAAGGAGTGATGGACATTTTATCACACAATTTTAATTCCCTTTACCTACTTTGTTTAAAGGTATAGTGGAGGATGTTCTTTTCCAGGTGGATCATTGAAATAAGTGGTCCTCCTAATTTTCAATCATTCTGGTGATCCATCCTACATGCTCATCCCCATTTCATTTACTGGTGGTGAGTCTTACATATTGGAATAATTGCAAATCTTTTGGAAAGTAAGCTTGTGAGAGTTATGCAAACAGCAACTTTTAAACAGAGTGTGCATGTAGAGAAATGGGCTTGTGCATACTCTTGCATAGATTTAATATGCGTTCCCTTCAGGAGCGGGTAAAGGGTTTTGCATGTGCTTTTTTTTTTTAAAGTGAAGAGGGCAAGTCTTTTCAAAAATATTCGAATATCCTCCACTATACCTTTAACTTCAGGAAAACAATCAGTTTTTTTGGATTCCTCATGATTCAGACTGAGATATAAATCAGGCTTCTGCAGTATCTGCCCCAAGATTATGACTTCTTTATCAATTTATGTAAACACTGACCAGTAAAATTTAAAGTTTATACCTTTAACTCCCCAATTTTACTCCCTCCTTACTCTAGTCATGCATTAGACTTTTTTATATGTATTATACTCGTTTGTGCTATTGTTTGCCTTTGCTTTACTGCCTCTTAATTTTACGAATGTAGCTCCATTGCAAAGCCCTTTGGTTAAACTCAGATGTATTGTGGGTGTTTACAAACCTGGGTGAATCTCAGCAGCCTGTCCTGTCATGGCAGGAGCAGGATCTTGCAGCTGGTAGGCTGCCGAGGAACCCGTGCCATCCACGCTGTTGGAGGTCATATACGATCCGTAAGTGGAGGGAGAATAATACTGCGCATACTGGTTTTGGCCAAACGTCGTATATGAGGGATAATCCTGAAGATCATAACATTAGATGTGAGCACATAAAGAGCTGACAAAACAAATAAAAGAAGCAACATGTTTCAGTTTCCAGAAAAATGGTGCAGAGAGACTTCTGAGGGTAGATTTTACAAGCGTTCTCTCTCATTTCTCTAATCCTCTATTCTTTCCAGACTTTATTTTATATCTCAGGGACAATCTGAGCCTTGTACTCCTCCCTTTAAAGGACCAAGTGGAGATGGGCACTTTAATGACTCAGCTCTCTAAACCTGTCAGTAAATCCTTCTCTGAATGTCTTTATAAAATGCAGCATTCCACATAAATGCTCATAAACATTGTTGCACAGCTGGTGTGTAGTCAAACAAAGAGTTGTACACAAGTCTGCACCCATATTCTACAGGGTGGACAGATTTAATTGTTTTCTGCCAGACTTTAGTCCCTTCTTTTGGTCTTGTGCTCTTTAAAAAAGGTTTCTCCTTATATGATTGGATATTTAGTTAGCTTAAATTTATATTCCTATCATAATGACAACATTATAACTAGTCATAATGAACAATTTATTAACTTTCTGTTAAAGAGAGTTTTCATCCTTAAGTCGTCCACTGAGTATAGACATTAAAACAGAACACAGCTTAATGATATTTCCACTCCATTTCACCCACATTGGCCCAACGCTCGCTTTCTTTATATGAAAAACCACATCTTTCAAAGACAGAAATGAAAATCCCCCTTATAAACATTTAACTGCTCCAGTGCAATTTATCATATGGACATTGATAAATATTCTAAGACAAACAATGCTTTCACTGAGGCTATTTGTCAACTGATTTTGCAATTTTTCTTTTTTCTTAATGTCTTTATTCTTTATTAAACAAAATCAACGACATTCTTTTGGGGATGTGATCGCGAAATGACTAAGTCTTTTAGATATTCTACAACCTAAACAAAGTAAAATACTTTTGCTTTAGTATAAATAATATAAAAAATTACTTCTCATTGACCATGAGAAAATAACCACTTCTGTAAAATAATAGCTGATGTGCTTGTGTTATTATGTAGTACCTGCTGTGTGGCAGTGTAGTTGGCAGGGTTGGATACAGAGTTGTTGGTGGCATAGAGGCCTGAGGAAGGAGTGAAACTGGACCCTTTGAAAAAACAAAATGCAAGAACAGAAAATGTAGAACTGAAACCTTTAAGGAAAGGGCAATATTCCTCTGGGTAGGGGTGTCAGTGAACAGACCTGGCATCTGATAGGGTGAGTAGGCAGTCTGTCCGGGCTGAGGTGTGGTGAAGCCTGGGCTGTAGCTGAGGCCAGTCTGCAGTGGAGACTGACTCTGGGTGAGGCTGCTCTCCGTCTTTATCCCAGGAAGCATCACACCCAGATCTGTGAGAAAGAGAACAAAATCACAAAATGACATTAGCGATTATTTTAATATTTGTCCCATGCAATGAGATTCACAGCAGCTTATGCTCATTTTGCACTGTTGGAAACAGTAGAGAGATTAATGCTAGTGGAAGTATAAAACATCAGCATAAGTTGGACTTTATTTCCAGCAAAATTCAAACCTCAAGATTAATTGGTTATAGTGTTTGACTTTAATGCACGCGAAGTTGTTGTGGATCCTGATTTTGTCAGGAAGGTCACATGGCATAAAAACTTTCAATGCCCTGAATACGGTGGCAGCTAAAAGGACACACGCAGTTTTAGCAAGACTAAAATTCCTGATCTGCTGGCCTTTCAGCAAAGACTTTGTTGCCTATTAATTTAGGAGCCAAAAAAAAAACATCACTTAAAAAAAGATTTCAAATAATCCTTCAACGCTATGTTTCTTCTTTCCCACAAAAAAATCATGACATGTTGTTTTTTTTTTTAAAAAGAGCAGAAAATGCTTTAAATCCCACAGAGGGAAAAAATACAATAACCATTTCTTTCTTTTTCATACAGAATCTTAGTGTTTGTGTTCAAAAATGGGATTAAAGAGTAAAATAGTCTGATACATTTTTTAGCATGATAAGTTAATAGTAGCATAATTTACAAGTGTAAGAATAACTAACAGTATTCATGTTTATAGTTGATAATAACAAGTGTTATTTCAGTGTTAACGTCCCATGACCAAAATACCAAGCCTCTTTTTCCAGTCGTGCTAAACTATTTCATGCAACATTGTCCACAAAAGGACAAAGTTTCGAGATTAATTTTTTCTTTGCTTAAAGGTATATTGAAGGATTTTTGCAATTTTTTTAAAAGACCCGTCCTCTCCACTTTAAAAAAAGATGCACATGCACAACCCTGTGCTGGCTCCTGAGAGGAAATGCTTATTAAACATGTGTGAGAGTCCATTTCTCCTTGTGCATGCTCTGTTTAAAAGTTGCTTACTGCATTGCTCATACAAGCTTACTTCCCAAAAAAAAGTGTGCATTTATTCCACTGTCAGACTCACCACCTGTAAGTGAGAATGGGGACGAGCACATAAGACTGCCTTAGGTAAACTTATCACCAGAATGATTGACAATTAGGAGGACCACTTATTTTGATGATCTACCCGGAAAAAGAACATCCTCCACTATACCAAGCTCAGTCAAATTGAAGAATATATGTAAACACTCTTTTCCACAGATTCTGATTTACATTAACAGATGGATAGGCTTTGATTTTACCTAAGCTTAATAGCTGTCTATGGAAAGAAGAGGGACGGACCAACGGGGTCAAGCACACCTTCCTGTATCTGAAAAGGGTATTGCTTTCTTCGAGTCTTTAAAAATATCCAGACTCTTTATAAATCCCTCACCTGCGCTCACACCTTTCAGAGATTCCTGACTGCTACAGCAGAGGTTTCCAGACTCCACCCAGTTTACTTGATAAATTAATCTTTTAAAATGCTCTGTTTGTCTGACTAAAGGAAACTTTTTACATAATAAAGATTACAAGAAGTGTTGCACCGATACCAATACTAGTATCGGGCGGGGCCCCAATCCAGCACTAAAATGGTGGTATTGGTATCGGCTAGTACCGACAAATAGGGCACCAATACCATTTTGAGAGCCAAAAGTTTCTTCAACTATTGTCACCCATTTCAGGTAGGCAATAAAAAGTTCTATGGATTCACTTTGTATTAGTGTTTTTCCTGCTTCACAAAGGAAGGCTTGAAAAAGCCATGATGGCAATTATTTTACATCCAAGTAGTATCCAGTTCTTCATATATACACACACACATCAATTTCAAACAGATGGTATCGGTATCGGCCAATACTGCACAGCCAGGTATCGGTATCCGTATTGGGGCCAAAAAATGGCATAGGCGTTCACTAATTACAAGAAAGACAAAATCAGTCTTTCAAGTCAAGTGTGAAAACTAATCAATGACTCATCGATGACTTTATAAAAATGAAAACTAGATTAAATGTGCACAAAAAGACTTTAAAAAAAACTGAAGATCCAAAACGGCTAAGTTGGTATCTTGACCTAGCCTCGTGAGACCATCCTGATCTCGCGAGCTTTCAAGATTTCACTCGCTAATCAGTCTGGAGACTCTCTGTTGAAGAAAATTTGGAGCCGTTCACCAAACGAACGTCCAATCAGCGTTGGCTTTGAGGCGGGTTGAGGTGTGACGCAACGAGAAGTGCTACAGTTCAGTCAAAAGAACATGGCGGCTTCAGCCAATGAAACTAGCGTTAGCGTGGCTATCGAGCACGTTTTATCGGAATTACAGTATTTCTTCACTGAAAGAAGAGCAAAACACTGCTCTGGAGGCTTTTCTCAGAGGAAAAGATGTTTTTGCTCTTCTCCCGACTGGTTTTGGCAAGAGTTTGATCTATCAATTGGCTTGTGCCTGGCTTGGGTTGTGTTTTCGTCGTCGTTCTGTTAGTACGTCATATGCTTCGTTGACCTGATTGGTTTTTTTTGGCCCCTCTATCACCAACATAGGCCAATCAACTAACCAGTATTTTCGCCCCTTCCCAAAATTACTTCAACGGAAGGTTTCCAGATGGATATGCGGAGCAAATCCATCTGGCGGAGTCAGGTTAATCTTGACCACAGTTAAAAGAGAAAAATAACCAATAAGCAGGCAAAAGCTGAATGCTGAAAATAAAATAAAAAACTGCATGATTATTAAAGATGGATCTATCTAAGTTTTAGTGTATGTTTGCTAATACCATAGGTGGAAAGTCCATAGGCCTGTCCTGTCTGTGAGTAAGCAGTATAAACAGTGGACTGCTGCATGCTGCTGAACTGAGGCTGGCCAGCGTATGTTGGCATAGCAGGACCTGGTGGTGTGGAGAGGATGTGAGGATAGGGCCTGGAGAAAAAAAAAACAGAGGTTATGGACGACTCTTATGCATATAAATGTTTTTAGTTTGGTGTTTAAAAAGCAAACAAAACTTACTTTGACGGGTAGAGGGAAGGAGAGTACTGATGAGCTGAACGGGGGCTGTATCCGCTGCTGGTTATTACTGAAAACAAAAATAAACCGAAACAAATACATTTGAAACTGGTGTTTAATTTTGCATTTATTAAAATCCCTCACAGAAATTAAGGCCTCTGGCCTATTAAACACACAATATTGAAGCACTTTAAAAGAAGAAAGTTTTCCTTTGCAGAGAGAGTCCATGAAAAAACCCTAACAGTGGGCCTCACAATGAAACACAATGTCTTTTTGTGGTCATTGAGATATCAGAGCTCTGTACTGACAAACACCCCGCTGCTTCTAAGCACTCTCCCAAATGCTTTGTGTATCCATGTGTGGGTTTGCAATGTTAAGAAAAACACAGGGCTATTAGTGATTCCACAAAAAAAAAAAAAAAGGAAAGTAAAAATGTCTCTCATCCTTGTGCCAGCCTTTGATGATGCAATCCAAGGACAGTCAAGAGTTCAGTGGATTAAAGCTTTCAGCAGGGATCCCACTGAGCTAAAATGAATGATGAGGATGTTTGTGGGAGACAATAGTTTTCCGTGTGTTGAAGTGAAATACTTGAAATGCTTTACCTGAGCTGGCATACGTGTCCAATGCCGTGTCGCCTGTGGTGGTGACCGTATCACTGCTGTTTAAAGGCTCTGTTTTTACTTAAAGGAAAGGAGAAAGGGGTGGGTTACAGATTGGCATTTGAAATGGTTCATAGAAATAAAAAAATAAAAAAACATCAATCATTCTCAGTAAAAAAGCAAAACAAAAAAAAGAGTTGTATATCACCATGCGATTCTGCAATGCCATTGTGTGTAAAAATAAAGATGTATGCAGGGTTCCCCTTTTTAATCTATTCAGAGTTCACCGTTGAGGGTATCAAGTTAAAATAACTACCTCCAAAATGAGCACCTTAATGTACCCTTCTTCCTGTTTTTCATTTAGGTTCCTGAAAATGATGAATACCATGAAATTTGATAATTACGTTTAAAACACAATTATGTACAGAAAACCACCTGGCAAATTTCCCCTCACATCTACTGACTTCCCTTGGAAATCCAGGAAATCTGATCCCCTGACCGGTGGGAAGCTCTGCAATACTATGTTTGAAGACCACACACGCTGTAATAAATTCAGCGTTGGCATGTCAAACACAAACAACACAGCACAGCAAACAACAGCCAATCAGACCAGTTCCTGGCAGAAAATCATTCTCAGCCACACAGAGCAATCCGCTTTATTTTCAATGTAATGCTCTATGAGCTTCACACACATGCTCCTCTGTACCATAGTCCTTGGAACCCGAGGCAGGGGGCGGGCTGCTGCAGCCCAGCAGCCAATCAGCCGTGTTTAGAATGGTCATGCTTTCACCTGCAGGAGTGCAAGGCGGGAAAATTGTGAAGATATGATGCTGTTAAAACCGGATGCAGGTCCAGCATTATTAATCTAAAATAACATCTTACTTTAAAAAGCAAAATATAGTTTTTAAATCAATAAAAATAACATTTGGAAAATGTATTTATTTTTTTTGTTTTGCTATCATGGTTTTGATGACGTCTTTGTAAAAAAACACATTTTTAGTAACGTATTTCCAGAATAGATTCTATACTTTATTGATTAATTAATCCTTTTCTATATCAGTTGTATTAATCTGTACAACATAGAAATAAAAAGGCTTTTTTTTTTTCAAATGATCATGATATCGAGAACCATCTGGCTCTATGTGAAAAGGCAACAGCCTCCCTCCTCATTTAATGTTAACTGCACCTCTGATAACAGTTGTAGTTTTGAAGTGCCCACACTGAAGAATTTACTGAAATCAATGAACCCATATGATGTATTATGAGCTTAAACATGCAGATCAGACTGGAACACAATCAAAATTGATTGATTTAAAACCTTCTTAAAAGGATCATAACTCCTCATTGCTGGCGACAGGGAGTGGGAGTTGCAGCTATCTCCCCCTAATGCCCTGGATCTGTTCTACATATTTTGTTGAAAAATGCATACCCGTTAAACTGTGGTTTGTTTATGTGCAATTTTTATTATGCATGCTGCTGAAGAAGTACTATCAACTGGCGACAGGAAAGCGGGACAAAATAAAATGCTTTGTTTACTTGCCTGACAATGAGTCAAAAAATAGAAAGTCTAAAAATGTATTTTGACACACATGGCACTCTGACTGCACAACAGGCAGGCTGGCAGCACTGCGCGGCAGCACTGCACCAGCAGCCGGCTTCGGCCATTACTCCAACAGGACTACATGGAAGACAGTCCATTTCAAATGAGCTGTGGGGCCAAATAGATGTACATAGGACGCTGCAAAACGCAGGCTTTAGTTAGCACTAAAACCTTAATGCTGACCTGACCCAGAACTGGTTGCTTATAAGTTATAGATATTCACTTATATTTATCAAGAACCAAAAGAGTTGGGGGTTTACTCTAAAAAGCATCATAATCAGGTTCATTATGAGGAGGGAGAGCGGGATGAGTTTTATCTGACCTAAAAGAACAAACAAACAAGAATTTAAATGAGCTAAACACATTAGGAACCACATATATTTTTTTTCATTTCTGCAGTTAATCCAATTCTACATGCTGACAGAAAAAAAATATGTTTTACCAAAAAAAAATCATCAACTGGCGTATGCCATATTTCTCTTGCATAATTTCTGTTCTAATTCTAATCATAAAGCTCTGTGTTGTTTTAAGTTGCAGTATAAAAAACATTGCAGTTGTCTGATAATGTACTATTAATTAATGAGCTATTATGTTTATGAACACTATGTGTTAAATCTAATGCTATGCAAATTAAAGGGACACAGTTTCACCCAAAATAAAACAGTTTTACCATTTTATGCATACAGTATTTAATAACTGAATTATTAATACTAATAACAGGACAAAAGATGAGGATCAAACAAAGATTGAAGATAATGCTCTATGTTATATTTTCCACTTTGTTTGGGATTCTTGTTTGACAGTTTATGAATCATCAAGATAATTGAATTAATATGCTGGGTGTATCTATATAATAAGGATTTAGTCAAATGCATTGTAAAATATTTACCCTCTATAGCCCGGGATCAGTAAATATTATCACTACTATTTGCACAGTCAAAACAAAAGCTGCTGCAGTTAAGGGGCGGCATAACTTACTATTAGGTTTTATTTGTTCTCTTATGGTCTGTTTGGTCTGGATAGTTTTTGTTTTACCGTTATGAATAAAATCACAATTTTAAAACTGCATTTATATTTATACAGGTTATTTACATGATGACCTGAAACATTTAAGTGACCATATAAAAAGCAGAACCAGGCAGACTATTTAAGGGGAAAACATCTTTTTACAGCATTGTCTAATAAGTCAGGAGTTTTTTTTCTATATTAAATTCTTTTGGTGGTAAATCTGGATCATGTTGAGGCTAAATACAAGATGGAACCATTTCAATGGGTTGCTGGGTCATAGCAGATCGTACAGTTTTTTCAGTTTAACAAATAATTAGCTGAATACAAAAAAAGTCAACATGAAGTAAGAGTTCAAGGTTTAAAAAATAAGCTTTATGATGCACTTTCGCTGCTTCGATCTACAAGCATGTGCTTAGAAATGCATCCTATACACAAAGAAACCAGCCACAGCATGTGATCACCAATCTAGAACAGCAGGCCTCTTGACCCTCTTTATACAGTACATACGGTATATGCTCACTTCTTTGAACATGATTAAAACTCATCAGCAACCATATGAGAACTCCATTTAATTCCGGTCAACCTCATTAATCCCCTCTGGGAGCATTAGAACCCAGTGGACCAGCTGTAATGAAGACGAATGAGTTGCTGTGGAGATGGCCCGTGGGCCTGAGTGTTGGCTGATGTCAGGTGAAGGGAATGCTGGTTATGTAGTTTGTTTTGGCTGCCTGCGTGTAGTCCTGACTCTGTCTGCTTTGACTATTAACTGTGAGCTCATCAGAAATGACTTGAGGGTGTCTGAATTTGGTGTTAGTCCACCATGGCCACTACAATCGGTGTGGCAATGTCTCTCTTGTCACATGAATATTACCAAGCTTTTTTTCTGTTATCATTGACTCATTATAATTTTTTCTTTTCAACTGAGCAACAAATTTTCTTCAATAAAAACTTAACATCCAGTGTTATTACATTTTACTGCCTTGTCCCACTTATAGGAAACCTGCAGAAAAGAGGGATATCAAATGGTGAAAAATAGAAAAAAATCAATTATAAAGTTTTGATGGAGGAAAAAAAGGAGAAAAGTGCAAAAGCTGGTGTTGACATCTAAGACAGCAGTGATGCTTTAATGTTCTTGTAGAGGAAATAGTTTCCAGTAGGAATTTGGGCTTGCACTTAAAACCCAAAATACACACACATGCATTTTTCCAACTGGTTAGCGGAGGAAAGCACAAGAGCTTTACTAAAGGTTTAAAGGGATTCTGTTGTGGTTTACTTGAGCACAAATGCTCATCACTCTGAACACATCATCCTCATTGCAAAATATGGTGGAGGCAGCAACATGTGGGAAAGGTTTTTTTTTTCAGGGATAGAAGAGCTGGTCAGATTTGAAGGAAATCTAGTAGGATGTAGGTACAAGAAAATTCTGCAGAAACACTTTCAAACTTAAAAGTTGGTCACTCATCATTTAGTATGTCTGTGCTTGAGGGCTGTTATAAAAAGGAAGGTTCAAAACTGATTTTTTTTTTCTCTCAATATGTTAAAAAAATGGAGGAGTATCAGAACTGAAAAGGTTATTTGATTTAGTATTAACTCAGGCAGGATGCATTCAAACTGCATTTTTAGATTTTCATTCAGAATAATAAAAAGAAAACTCCATCTACTACATATAAGCTTTACTTTTTGCTGGCCTATTTCATAGTATTCCATTGAAATAAATAGGAGTCTGGGGTTATAATCTGACAGAGCGACCATTAGATGGCTTAAATAAACCTTTCTATCATAGTCACAAGTGGTGAACATCTTTTGCCTGCTCACCTCCTGTTCCATTAGTGGTGATAGACGGACTGCCAAGGTTGTTCTTGTCCAGTTTGGAGCCTGTTGAGTCTCCGGTTCCCACGCGGTTATGAGGACTGGCTAGGTCCTGCATTTCCATAGACCTTACAAAGGAGAGCATGGAGGACACGAAGCAATAAGATAGACCGCAATTCATGAATTAAACAGAAATCAACAGAAAAACACTCTCCCAGCTGGAAGACCTATGTCTTTCATTTAATATTTAAGACTCCCAGTGAGCAGGTTCAGTCACATTCAGTATATTCACGCTGGGTCATAAACCTCATGCAGCTCAGTGACAGTCAGCTTAGTCGAGCATGTGTTCAGAGGCGTTAGACAGTGGGCCTGCTGACTATTTTATGGACTGGGATGTGTGTGTGCATGTGTGTGAATGTGTGTATACACATATGAGCTACAATACAAACCCACAGCTCTCCGTGCTCTTTTACAATGCGCTCTACATGCATGACTGGGTTGAATCAGCACACAAGGTGGTGATGTTAAACTAAAAGTCTGAGAGTGAGTGTATGGGCAGTTAGAGGCCGAACAGATGAAACATCCCTTGGGGTCCTTACAATATTCATTGTACCGTATATTCCGAACTATAAAGCGTACCTCACTATAAGTCGCACCCATAATTTATTTTTAAAGAAATGGAAACATATATATACAAGCCCCACCAGGCCATATCAGCCGCCACTATCTACTGAACCGTCCCCCACCAAACCTGTAGGGGGGCTCTACACATAACCCCTAGAATAGGGACAAAAAAGAATGCCCGCTCCCATTAGCTTGTTGGATTGCGGAAGCAAGAGCTTCTTATGAAAGACGGTGCTTCATCAGCTCTTTATTTCAACTCTGCAGGAGTTGCAGAAAATTAAATGGTTTGACAGGTTTGAAGCGGCAAATAATTGTCAAAATAGGTAAATTCAGGACATTTGTGTCCTATTGCGCCTGCTGCTAATATGCCTGTGCTAAATGAAAATGAACCCCTTCTTCTATGATCTCCATAGAGATCCCCATGGCCGTTAGGAAAAATCAACAGAAAAGCAGCACCTTCATATAAGGCTCATTATTCAGTGTGGGAAAAAAGTATCGACTAATGGTCTGTAAAGAACGGTATATCTAGACATTAGATTAAGATTACGTTTTAAAATGGGAAAACACATAGTCAATACAAAAATCTATTTCTTCAAATGATGATGCACATTGTAACTACTAACTTATTTTTATGGATAGTCATGCAGTGAAACTTCAAGCAGCAGTTGGAGAACATCTTTGAGACAAGACGGTTCTCATATGTTTGTTAAAGTGCTCTGAACTACTGCACCTGTAAAATTTTGTCTCCTTCCGTTAGGAGATAAAACATAAACCAAACAAATGCAAAGATGGAAAAAAAAAACACACACACACTGAAGTAAGGTCCTGCTGGTTAAAGTGAACATCCTAGTGCAGCGGTCAAATAGCATCTCCACACATGACTATTAACCAAAGTCAAGATAAATAACAATTCTGCCTGAGTTGTGTGAAGATGATTTGCAAAGAGGAATCATGCATAGGAAAAAAAAAATGTAAACCTTATATTACTTTAGCAAGTAAGTTATTATGTTCTCTTGCACTTTTGGTCTATAAGTACTGTATGTCTTCCAAATATGTAAAAAGGTTAATATTCTCTCTGGGTGTTCAAAATGCTTCTTCCATCCTTACTTTGGTCTTTCAACAGCAGGAAATAATTCCCTCTCCCTTCCTTGCTCATTTTCTTCCTCTCCCTGTTTTGCTCCTCTTAAGAGGCAGTGGCAGGAATTGGTGTTTCATAAACTCTTCTCTGTTTTTTACATTACATCTGGTCTTTGACTAAAATGAGCAAAATTCTAGTAAACTGTACCCCTCGGTGAAGTCAAAGACACATAGCAGATTCACGGATGGAGAAAAAGATTATATTAATTCCAGCTTAACTGGATTTTTTTCCATTTTGGTTAAAGAAAAGCCTCAAAGTTAAGATTTCTCTTTCCCAGCCAGCTATAGTGTTAAAAAAAAACATCACTGGCCGTTAAAAGCATTGATATATCTTAAACATTTGGTCATGTAACAATGACAAACTGCTACATGCTAGTAATGACTAACCAACACAATGCAGCCGATAAGTGTGATGTGGAAGGAAAAGGATACATGGTGCATTTTCTTAAAGAAAAATATATAAATTTAGCCCCAATGAACCATTGCTTTGTAGAATTACAAAAAATCTGATTAAGTAATATGATTAAAAGCTGTTACTCTGTGCAATAATAGAAATATCTCTATTAAATAGTTGAAATATCTAATTCACTGTTTTGTCTTTTTAAATTCAGCAGCCTATGTAGCCTATGGAAAAACCTATATACAAAGAAAACTTTTTTTTAAAAGAAAATGTCCACTTTTTAATTATTCATTAGTTGATTGATAAGATCAATTCATTTTAGATTGATTCATTAATCGGAAACATGTTCTTTATGCATGTGCAGCCCGTGTCATTTGCGTTTCAGCTAACAGTAATGGGTATATATTTCTTTTGTATCTGGTGTCTTGGTGGTTTTCAGAAACTTTGGCAAGTACCTATGACCTCACCATTGCACCATGAGCAGAGAAAGAGGACGCAAAAAACATGCAATATAAACAACACACAGGCAGAAATGATCATACCTGGTGTCTGAAGGGTCTGGAACATGAGATTCACTGTGTGATTTCTTCACCTGCGGAGAGACCAGAGGAAATTTCTTTCAAAACACACAGCCTTGAAAACACAAAAGCAACGCATGACACAATAACGGCTCACAAGAACCAGTGTTAAGTTTCCAATAAAAACAAGCCCCATAAACTGGTGTTAATGAGTCAGACACATTGTACCAAGATTATAAACCTATGTGACTAAGACATTTCCAGAAGCATAAATATGTATTATCAAAAACTAAACTTTTAGGATTATTTTCATTCTTTTTTTATTTTATTGGGATAGTTACAGCTATCAAAGTAAATGAATAATAATAATAAAAAAAAACTTTTTTCCTCACAAACTCATGAGAAAAACAGCTTAAGTAAATATATTGTCATCTACAATTTTCTGGCAATGCAGTGTTATCCCTCCCCAATCTGTTGCTGTTACACATTTTGCTCAACAAGAAACTGAGATCTCCTATGTTTTGATGTCAGTGAATATTACCAATTCCTATTCGTAGAAGGCCAAGGACTTTTTTTTCTTTTCCTTTTTTGTATATTTAGACATTAACAAACATTTCTCTAGTGTTTGGCAGACTGCATGACTCGGGTTTAACTTATTTGGCATCCTTGTATGAGTTTCTCAGAATTGCTTTTATCACTTTGGCTCATTCTTTTGGACAGAACTGGTGAAAATAAGTAGTTTGTAGATTGTCCTGTTCAAACACACCTTCTCAGCTCTGCCCACATTTTTTCCATAGGGCTAAAATCAGAACTTTGCAACGACTATTCCAAAAACATGGATTTTTACTTTTAGGCTAACTAGCATTTGGTATGGAGGGTATAATGGGTGGACATTCCCGAGGTGTATATGCTTTACAAGATGTGAATGTCTTATAATGAGGGATAGAAAATGTTTACCCAAAGATGAGCTGGTAGCATCACTATTCTTTTCACAATTATTTTGGGCTTGTTTCTTTTGGTTTTTCCCAAATAGAAAACACAACCAAGACCAAATTTCCAATCAGTGCGTTTATGGCACTCCTTTAATAGACATTCATAATCGTTCTCAATTCAACTAAGCTGTATATAGATGTCTGACTTTAAAACACTAATATTAATTTTAGAGAACATTTTCCACATTATTCTAGCATTTAATCAGACCTAAAACTAGTAAGGTTTGGTCTAGTTAATTTCAGAAAAACGGAAAGAAAAGTGTCCTTTTTATAAATCTAAAAATAATATTCTTCAACAATCGATATATCATGTTTTAGCAGTAAGAAAGATTGTAGTTTTTTCTGTTTAAATAAAAGCAGTGTTCAATTGCTCCTTAAAGTGTATGAATTCTCCAACACTAATCTAAACACATGATATCATGAAGAACCACTATCATCTTGTGTCTATATTAACAATCATGAACTCCTGATTAATAATGATTTGCTGTCCATAGCAGTAGCTACCTCCATGTTCAAAGTGCTAACTACAGTCTAAGTGACAGATATTAACTCTCCCTTGTTCACCTGTGACCCTATCTCCAGTCTGAGCTTGATCACGCCTCTCAACCCCATGCAAGAGTTTAAAGGTCCCAGCAGGGTCATGTTAGGTCGCAGTGTTAAATATGTCAATGCAGAAACTGAACTCAGACTTGACTTTGGGGGGTACATGTGACATTTGGTCATGTCAATCAATGTGTGCAGGTACTATTGGGGGGTGAATATAGAAAAACATACTTCAGTTTACCCTACAGCATACACTCCCCACACACAGGCTCACTTTAAGCACGCCTTTGTGTGAGGCTATGTCGGGCCAGACAGCAGACCAGTGGTTCTCTATTAAAATTCCTCTCTCTTATTTGGATCAGGAACTAATTAGACGAGTAAATGCAGGGTGGAGCGAGGGCCAATGTGTACCAGCTGCTCTATAATCACTGTGTCAACACACTATCAAGGTGTAGGAGCACGCGCAGGCTGCCAAGCGCACATTTTCGCATAGGGCACAATGCACTCCTAGGAAAATTCAACCAGGCAGCATAAATTCAAGTAATTTCCAAATTATCGCAATCATAGGTAAGTACTCTGAAAAAGAGCAAAGTGGACGTTAAACTCAGGCTTTCTGGAAAATGGGACATGTCTGTGTGTTTATGTGGAGAGGATGCCTTTGTCCTGTTATGGTTCTGATTAGAGAATCCTGCTGAGAGTGAATAAGAAGGCACACTTAGCCATTTAAGACAGAGGTCAAAGGTCAGCCAGTCTTTTCGTATGGATCACTTTACACACACACACACACACCCATACGCACCACTTTCATGTCACGTTTTATGCTTTACTGAAATTCAACAAGGCTGTCACTCATAGCATCAACTGGGATGGCCGTGAGAAACTACAGTCCACATGTAACACACATGCAGGGCCCGGACACACATGCACACATAACACACGCACACAAAGGAAAACACATACTGTAATGCATATGCTTGGCTTGGTTTCTGCCTCAACAGGATCTATGAAAACACAAGCACACGCAGGCTTTGATCCCGGAAAGCTTTTAGGACGCAGGCTTTCCCTCAGTGTCCGAGTCTCTCGCCTTCCTCAGCATAACAAGCCTTTTTATTTCTGACTCTTACACACATGTATCTCATATGTAAAAATACCACATGTTCATTTCATATGACTTCAGGCTTTAGTCAAATATGGTGGGCATAAGAAATCATCTTCAACATTACTGGATTTTCTGCTGTTCATAAAGTCAAAGTTGTTGAAAAAGACGGTTCAAAAGATGTTAAATAACAGCTAATACAACTAAAATATTAAACATCTCTTATTAATACACATCTATCACATCCAGCAGCATTAGTTCTGTAAGAACCAGCGCTTTATTTCTAACATTAGAAACAAAGATCCCCTGAGTTCACTTTTAGGGGGCCACAATGTCTGAATAAACCATTTGTGTCACCTGAGCCACCCAAAAAGATGACCTTTGACCTGGTTGACCGGGTGACCGGTCTTGAACACTACCTGGTCGGTGAAAGAACTCCCCATGGGATGTATCCATCTAGCACAGGTAATTAGCACTATAAAGGTTCATTTGAGCAAACAATATGATATTCTTTCTAAGAATATGTCACTTTACTTTAGAACTATGCAGACCAGAAATGTGTCAGTCAGATATATGAAAATGAGGATTTTAGCTGAGCTCCATTTCATTTAGTTAATTATTTTATTTCTTAAAAAGCTCAATAAAGTTGCTGAAAATCAACATCAAATGGATACTTAAGGACTGTCTGTGGCAAACGTTTTTTTCCTCTTATGCAGGACAAAGAGAAAGAAAAAGAATCGCTGAGCTGGTGGTTTCCGCTAAGAACAGTATTTTTATTATTATTATTATTATTATTATTATTATTATTATTATTATTATTATTATTATTATTATTATCATTATTATTATCATTATTATTATTATTAGTATATCATTATTATTATACGTACAATGTTTGTTTAAAAATAATGTACTTTTTTGTGGCAAATATTTCTTATAAAGAGTGACTGTATAGGAGAAGGGGAAATTAAAATATATTAATGAATTATTAGAAAATGTAGCAACATATAAATAAATAAATACATATAAAATAAATACACATAGATAAAATAAATAAATATACATAAATCTACTAACTTTTCTGGTACTGAATTTTTTTCATTTTCTCCACAAATAATTTCTATTTAGGTAAACAGCAAACTTTTAACAGTGAGATATTTCGCGATTCACTTTGCTGTATAACAGCAGCTTGTGTTATCTTTGAATATGAAAATAAATATCTTCTCAGGCTTGTAGATGCATTCTTACCTCAGACTGTAATCAGGCCAGTTAACAGTCCCACACTTCCACAGCGCATAACGGAGCTCTGCGATCCGGCAGCTCCCCCTTAAGACACAGACCCACTGCCCTCTTACCCACAAATGGAGACGCACACACACTCCCTGAGTGCCTCTTTTCTCCTTCTACCTGCTTCACACTTTGTACTCCAGGATTTGCACACCACTACAATTTTTTATCCTTCTTCTCTTTTCGGATTTTCTTTTTCCCTTTTTTTGGAACAGAAAAGAAACCCTGCATGTAAACTATGTCCTCTCTGCTGCTGCTGCTGAGGTCAATCCATGCACAGCTGCTGTCTTCCCCGACTCCAGTAATGGGGAACATTTCACTCGTCTTGTTTCTCTCCTCCTCTGCCTCCACCCCCTCTTTTTCTCCTCTCCTCCTCCTCTTTTTTTTTCTCAGCTGTCACTCATTACAAACTCACCCAAGCTTACAATTAGAGCTTAAGAACATTTTAAATGTTAATCATTTTGTATTTCCAGTCTAATTTTGGGTGAGTCTTTGATCTGAAATCAATATGTCCATAAAAAATATAGTAAACAAATGTATCAATGAAGACAATGTATGAGTATACAGATCAATGCCTTGCAGTAGAAAATACAACCAAGACCATAAACTTCACACCTTTCAATTGACCATTCCTCCTCCCCCATATCCCCTCCACACATACTTAGACACCCGCACCACACAGGGGCCCACATGTACACCTGAACACACTGTCAGCCCGTGTTAACTGGAACCACTCGGCTACGCACATGTGTCTTGGGTTAAATAGAGATCAGCAGGAAGGCTGGATGGGAGTGGACACTTACATTCATCAAACCTCCAAGTTACATCGGTCTGAAGATGGCACTCTTTCACTTTGATCGTCAAGACAGTTTTAAAGTCTGGTACTGAGCCCAAGACAAGCCAGGCTAACTTTTACACCATTTTATTAACCTTTTGACAGTAACACTATTATCATATTAATAAACTTTTCAAACAAATAAATATGATGTAAATGAGTAGCTTATTCATTTCACCTTAAAAATCGGGTTAGATACAGTACATTCTTGTCATTTCTAATTTGAGGTGATACAACAATTTTGTAGTTTTATGGCCGGTAAATGGTTTAAATAAAGGTGAAAATGCAAAAACATACTGAAATACTATTTTACTTAATTTT